ATGTCTGAGTGCCTCAGCAATGTAAGTGTAGCGGGTTAGTGTATATGCTGTGTCCATGCAGAACTTGTGTTTACATTTATTTGGTTTGTCTTTGTCCACAGACATCAGAAGATGTAAAGAGGACCCGCCAATGCAGCCAGACCTAAAACAGTTTCCCAGGACCCTGATGGGGGACAGGAGAAGGAGCTTCAAGGCAGGCTGGTACCATATCCACCCCTGGCTTGAATATTCTCAACAGATGGACTCGGCGTATTGTTACGCTTGCAGATATTTTAGCCCTCCTGATACTGTTTTTTTTCTCATCACTGGAATGTTATGACTACAATGCTTTCAAAGCTTGATGAAATAAAAAGTCAAATAATATTTCGAATCTGCCTTTTTAGCCCTGGGTTGAATGTGCCCCTCCATCAAAACCCCCGGCCCCAGCCCGGCCCCCTCAGTGAAACTGATCTAGAACCGCCACTGCCTTGGAGAATCTGGACCCCAGCAGCAAGACTCACAGGCGAAGGAGGGAGGGCAAGGGAGCTATAAGGGCGCGAGCGTCTGGTCTGCATAAACATTCAGGAGATAACGGCCTTCCCAAAGTGACTGACTTTAATATCAGTCAGTCTTTTAATGTCTCTCTGGACCATTTCAATGAGTTGAATTTGTGGTCATTTCTTGAGGTGGGCTGTCAACTTTGATCAAGAATCGTATCCGGTCCGCGATTAGGATCACTCGTCGGCCACGTTTGAGTGACGACAACACGAGACCGGCTCTCAACTCAACTCAACTTTCAACTCAACTGTATTTCTAGAGCACTTTCAAACAGCCATCGCTGCACACAAAGTGCTGTACATGGAGCAACTAACATCTACAACAGGAAGCAACAAATCAGTAAGAAAGATGGTCGAAAAAAAGATGGTAGAAAGCACCAAACAGCAGAATCAAGATCAAATATGAGTCATGCTGAGTCAAATGCCAAAGAATACAAGTGAGTTTTGAGGCGGGTTTTAAAGATGGGCAGCGAGGGGGCTTGCCGCTCTCTTTTGTTAGCGCGGCCAGCGTCCTCCGAACTTTGCGACAAATCCAACAGAAAAATCCCAAATAAATTCATGCCAACAACTCTGAAACCTATTTTCTGGAAACTGGTTTTGCAGGTTTGTGTAAACCTCATTTGAGTTTCATTATGTCAAAATGGCTCTCTGAAAAAGGTAACAATATGACACCTTCGCTTAAGAATACTCGTACTTTTACTTTACTTTTTTTTTTTAAACCTGAAGACATCCTTCTTTCATGCATCAAGTCGTCTGTATTAACAATAAAACCAATCACGCGGAATTTTCTTTTAAAGGACCGTGGCGAGTGCAACTCTTGTTTCACAAAAACATATTAACAATTCACACCGCTTGGAATAAATCAGATTAAGTGTGCAACCGCTCATGAGCACTATTATGAAGATTCTATTTGCCGAAGTTGCACATTCATCCAGATGGCAGCATAATACCTGAATGCTACTGCCCTTGAATGACAACCCAGCGTTAACTCATTCAAGGGCAGCCATTTTCAGAGCCACTTCTTCCACATGAAAAAATATTTGGCTTTTTTGCTTTCATACAACAGCGCATGGACTTGAAGTAAAACAATCGAAACGTGAACGAAGTGGACCCTTTCCGCTACTTGACGACGGCTGCAGCGAGGGCCTGGTAAATTGCACTATGATGATGTCCATCCGGCCTTCATGATTATGAAGGATTTCTATCCAATCATTCCAAAAATTGGTTATACCTAAGTCAATTGTCTGAGTGACTTTGTATAAAATGACAAATGCTGGAATCAGAAACGCCGCCTTTACTTTTTGTCCATGCAGTTACATCTCGGATTGATTTATTTCAATTCAATTGTGTCGTGTAAATTAGTTTTCGACATGCCGGTAAGGGACCTAATGGCAACAGACCCGGTAACCCACTGCTCAGTGAGCCTGACCTGCTATGCAGCTTATGCAATGACGTACTGGATATCACCATGTGTCTATGCGGCCTTTTGGCAAAGGGACAAGTCGAGGGAGGCGGGGGGTGGGGGGGGGGGGACTAGGCCGTTGGGGAATAATCGGCGAGCACAGTCTGGACCTGGCAGAAGGTAAACAGGGAAGATTGGCGAGCACACAAGCCATCGGGGACACTTGTGGATGTGAACGACCAAATGCGCATGGACAAAAAAAAAAAATTTTTTAATGGATCGAAGCTACAAAGAGAAAATTGTTGATGGTGTGCAGATGCACTTATGTTGCTTCAGCAGTGTTGCCATTTTCCTTAAAAAAGTCACTTAGTTGCTAAAGTGACTGCTTGATTTTAAAAGGAGCTAAATTTGATTACAAGATACTTTGTTACACTGAACAGGTAGACATAACCTGCTTCGCGTTAATGACGACACTTGGTTTTGCCACTTATTTAGAAGTGCATGTTTAGCTATGGCATTTAACAAAAATATTTTTTTTTCCTTTTTAAATTTTGAAATAAAGAACCTTTTTGACTTTGACCATTCTTTTTTTTTGTTTCAATTTTTTTGTGTCACTAAACAGAAATGAGCTCATTTTTAATTAAAACAAATTTAAAAAAACTGTCTTTCTAGACTGGGAATTACTTTACATTTGAATCCACGTTAGCTTTTTCCAGTTTA